TTTCTTTTTTTGGATTTTGAGAGGGGGGAAAGTTAGTCAATGGGATTTTGGTTCCCATTAACCAAGAATCTCATGTTCTTTTTTCGGATCTACGTGGGTACCAGGGAAAGTTTATTTTCCTAGGTATCACTTACTCGGGTAAGTGATACCCATCTCCTAGGTGGTTAAATAACTTTCCCACCTAGAGGGAAGTTGCCAACACTTGAATGGGACAAAAATGCCCCTTTTAATAATGGATTTTATGGCTAAAATGATCATTACCTTATTTACATGAGAAATTAAAGAACATGGGTAAATGCGCTTACCCAAGTAAGTGTTTCCTAGGAAAAACTTACCCAGGTAGCATTTACCCAAGTAACATACCAAAAAGCAAGCAGGGCCTTAGATTCTTCTCCTTTCTATCTATAAAAAGGAAAGTCTCGAGGCCCTCCATATGAGATCATCCATCGAGTACCTGTAAGAACCCTAGCACTCCAGCTCTCTACCACCTACAATCTTCCCCTCCTCCTTTGCCCTTGTCTTTTATCCCATCCTTCCAGTCATCTACCATCCTTCAAGTAGACTTCCATCATTGCCTTACCCCTCAAACCCACAGTATTTGCTTCTTTAAAATTGAGCCTAGGCCCTGTTCGCTTACCAGTAGACTTGTTCATGGGTCGGGTAGCCCGATGGCCCGGCCCGCACCCTGGTCGAGCTTGGTCATATAATTAGGCCCGCGGGCCTAACACAGTAAGTCCGACTGTGTTTTGGGCCGGGCTCGGGATTTGTCAAAAAAGCCCGACCCGAGCTCGGCCCGACTCAACATTATATATTTTATAAAATACATAATATGTATTTTATATATTATATAAAATATATAAATAATATAATATTTATTGAAATGTATATATTTATAATTTAATATATACATTTTTTATTTTTTCTTTAAAATTTCTCTCTTTCTCTCTCTCTAATTCTATTCAGCCGCTTCAACAATAGTAACAGCATGGGCTAAATTTTGGGCTCGGGCCCAAGCCCGGGCTTCGGGCTTTTTATGAGGGCCGAGCTCGGGCCCAAGTTGTAGGCCCGATGGTCGAGCGGGGCTCGGTCTCGGGCCTTAGAAAAATTTGTTAATACAGAGTGAAAGCCCGGCCCGAGCCCGGCCAGGCCCGACCCATGAACAGGTTTACTTACCAGTAAATTGAGCTTAGGCCCCGTTCGTTTACCAGTCATCTACCATCCTTCAAGTAGACTTTCCTGGATAAAACTTACCATCTCCTAAGCGGGTAAGTAACTTTCTCACCTAGGAGAAACTTTTATAAAACATAATGGAACTATTTTGACCATTTTATTACTAACTTGTTGTGGGTAAAAATGTCATTCTATTATTTATTAGGGAATCCTGTAAATCAAAAGAATATGGGTAAGTGCATTTACCCAAGCAAGTTGCACTATTGTAAATGAACAAAGCCTAACAGTGAACTTTGTTAAAAAAACAAAGGGGGTAAAAGTAGGACTTTGCCCTTTGAACTTCAAGAGAGTAGCCTCTTTTTGGCTTCAAATTGAGAGAGTTAGAGACTTGCCTAGGCCAAGTTTGCTCAAAAAATCGTATCTTTATGGAATAGACGTGCTCGGTTCTCAAGCATTTGCTCATATAGAGTGATCCTAACCATGTTCAAATCCTAATTACCAAATCCCCACTCAATTCATTTTAGAAACGTGGATTCCATCCCAAGTCCCTGCTACAAACCTTACCAACTATTCACTTGGCACCTTGCTTTTTTTTTTTTTTTTGAATAAAACCCAAAGGGTACTACAACAAACGGGGGGTAGTGCACCCCCAAAAGTCATCTAAACAAATAGAGAAAAGAGAAGGGGGAAGGGAAGAAAAATTAAAAGATAAACACTCTAACGTAGCAATCTGGGCTTCGCACGTCATCCAATCTGCAGCCTGGTTCGCTTCTCTGTAAACATGCCAGAAGAAAAGACTTCTAGAAAAAGTATTCTTCATCCTCGAGCAGCTCTCAATAATGTTCCTCATCTTCCAAGGGGGTTTCGTCTTTTGGTTGAGGCACGAAATCACCAACTTTGAGTCGCCTTCAATAATGATCAGAAATTGGTGGAGATTTAAGGCCATCTTAAAGGTCTCCCAGGCAGCCCATGCTTCAGCTTGATTGATGGAACAGTAACCAATCTTGACAGCTTTGGCATCCAGGACATGACCAAGATGATTACGGGCAAATACACGCAGCAGTATAAGGACCATCTAAGTAACGAGACGCATCAAAATTGATTTTAATGCAGTCCTGAGACGGGGCAGCCCACCGGATGGGCTTCCAGGGCTCGTACAGTTATTAAAAACTTTTTGATTTCGATTCTTCCAAATAGTCCACAAAATAAAAGCTATTTTTTTCTTTAATAAGTAGTTTTTTATTATTTTTTGCCAATTCACCCCACCAGTCAATGAGTGTTTGGTCATTATTCGACGGACCCACTAAAAGGGTCACATAGAATCGACCAAATTTGGTAAGAGAAATGGCAGAATTTAAAAATATGCTCCAAGTCCTCATCCTCACCGTAGAAGATACCAGATCCGTAAATATCAAAACCTATTTTCCTCAAAAACATCTTAGCAGGTAGCTTGTTTTGAAAGAGAAGGAAAAGAAAAGTTTTAATCTTATGAGGGCATTTGATGTTCCAAATAATGTCGAGCCAATTTGTAGTGTTATTATCCCCCAAGATTGAAGAACATTTCAGCAAATAGGCTGATTTAATAGTGAACACTCCAGAGGAATTCCCCTCCTAAATCATTCTATCTTCAAATTGTCTAGGAGAGATAAAAATGGATTTGATTTTTCCCATAAATTGTTAGGAACAATTGCTCGAATTCTGGGTTTATCCCAGCACTCACCATCAAAGTTAATTAAATTCGATACTATAATACTCTCATTCTCTTCATTTTCAAAGGAAATAATTTCTGATAAAGGTTTGTTGGTAACCCATTTGTCATGCCAAAAACTAATTGTTCTACCATTCCCAACTTGGTATCTAATACCTTTTTTGAGTAGATCTCTAGAATGGATAATGCCTTTCCAAGCCCACGATGAACCATTTTTGGGGCTAATATCCCAAAAACCTTTCGTATATTTGCTTTTAATAAGTTTAACCCAAAGGTTATTTTCTTCATTTAAAATTTTCCATCCTAATTTTGCAAGGTTTGCCTCATTTACCCATTGGATATTTCTAACTCCAAGACCTCCCCATCTTTTGGGAGTACAAATGCATCTCCATTTCATTAAGTGCAAGGGCTTCTTTCCTTCATTCTTTTTCCATAAAAATTCTCTTTGAATTCTTTCCATCTCCTCTAAAGCATTATTTGGAATTTTAAATGACCTCATGGGATATTGGGGCGTCATGTTTGTAGTGGAGTTTATAAGAGTAAGTCTTCCCGTTAATGTGAAAGAATTTTTTTTTCCAATTTGCTAGTTTTTAGAACATTTTCTCCTTGACGACTGAAAACGTATTCTTTGTCACTCTTTTGTTAATTAGAGGAACACCTAAATAGTTCTTTGGATTCAATTCATTTGAGATTCTAAGCATCCTTGAAATTATTTTTTAAAGCTTTAGGTGAATATTCCTTGATATAAAAACTGAAGATTTATTGAAATTTGGAGTTTGTTCCGATGCTTTAGGAAAGTGGATCCTATCATTTGGTCCACACGCCCAATAAATTAATTTTGATGCTAAAGGCATCGGAGCTGACATGCCTTTCATTTGTTGCAGAAGGGCGCGAATATTGTGAAAGCGGTGGCACGTTGGTTAGTGGAGACAGCCTTTTCGTTTTTGGAGTGGATTTCTCTTCCAATTGCAATGGAGACAAAGATTCCTCCATTCAATTGCGCGCTTTGGGCCACATGTTTTTGAAACGCTAGCGACAATAAAAACCCATACCCCCTCCTTGTCCTCTTTGTCTTGGTCCTTAAAATTACAAAGTGCATCGTACACATGTAGATCTGGAACAATGTTCAGGTGGGTCTTCGTCCGCCACTCCATGTGGGTCACACACCAGATATCTGTGGGGATATAATGTGTTTGTAAGCAGGATTCCGGAATAAAAATCGTATATCTTGCCGCTATTGATTTGGACAACTATATTGACAATTAATAACGCCACCAGTCAAATCCAAGATAAATTGGGATTTTTTGGCTACTGGTTCATTTGTCAGTATTTAGCAGGGGTAAGTTGGTCAATTAATTATGATCCCACATTCATTTGCCGCTAATGCTGCTCAGTTTGGAAGGAGTACAAATACAAATTTACAGAGTGCAAAACCTTATATTTTGCATTATTTTGTATATATTTATACTGCATATATTTGCATTTGTACTTCTTCCAAACTGAGCCTAATATCCTACAATAACTGAAGATATGAGAAGGCATCAGTCATACACTAAAAAGGTGGATAAACAACCTACCCATGCATCAATAGCATTCTCACCTAAACACTTGCACTGGTAAATATACTTAAAAATAAACTGAGCCTTACAAGTTATATCTAATGAGCGCAATAACAATTTTAAGCAAACATGCAACAGGGCTCAAAATCCATTTCAACAGTGGACAATATAATCCACACTGGATTGACGTGGGACTCCAAGACCATCTTAGGGTTTCTGAATAAACATCAAATACTCACTAATACCACTTGGCGATGTTGTCACTTGTCACAAGCGGATCGGACATAACCATAAAACCATTTTGGTTACTGAGTCACGAGTGAAATGGTCCGAGCATTTACTTCCCTGTCGAACTCATTCAAATAGACTAGGAGGGGACTGCAATTCAGATTTCTGAGGTGGATTGCAGTCCACTTATCCCAAAAAAAGGTGTAAAACAAGAAAAGAAAATTAAAAAAATAACAAATAAATCCAGATCATCTTTTAAAACTATTTCAGATCAAAATAAGCTGCACTTTAACACATCAATCTGATACGGGTTTGACCAAGCCAAGAGTCCAATCCGAATCAGACAACACTGTCACTAGGAATAAGAATTACTCAGCATATGAAGAAAATTTTGAAAATAACGTTGCCCAGTTGCCCTGAGCAAGAGCACTGCTTATGTCATAAGAAATTAAGAATAACACTCTTACAGTCTTACTACAGCACCCAGTAGTAGAAAGAAATCATGCTATTTAATCCCTAGTCACTTGGGATTTTGTTAAGTATTTAGCCCACAAAATACAAATCTTAACACATCTGGTAGGTTGAACGATCTTGACAGAGGACACTTTTTTGAACAATTGCTCATGGAAGAGAAGTAACACTCGAATAATTTTAATTTTCCTTTCAGCATTCAAAAAAGTATTCCTGACTGATAATTTTTTAGGCGTATAGGTAACAATCTAATTTGTCCTTTAATTAACGTGTATGAGAGAGAAAAACTTACACACCTTTTTTTTCTCACAAATGCATTTCTTTCCATGTCTCCAATCTCCGTCCGAAACACACCTAATCCTTCCACCCTTCCTTACTTACTCGTCTTGTGGCAAGGCCCTTGGAGGAAAGGCTCGGTGTAACAGGTTTTGAAGGCGTCCTTGGTGCCTCTTCATCATCCCAATCATCATCCCAACTGTTATCCCATCCATCAGTTACATCTGATTCCATCTTTCCCCCACCTGAAACTGGCAATTCTGTCTCCAACTTTTGGTATCTAGAGCTGTTGGTAGGGATCAATCTCCTATAGAATTTGGCACAAATCCAGGATGATGCCATTAGTAGCAGTACAGCAGCGGTCATGTATACAATGGAGGGGACCTGTATCAGAAAAATAGCATATGTAGACTTGGGGGAGTAATCAATTCTCTCGACAGCATTGTGCAAGACTAGATCCCTGAAATCAAGGCTGCAAGAACCAGTTCCAGTTGTCAAAACAATTGTGGTGTCTTTACCAACTTTTCCAATCGGTACTTTTACCTGCAGTATTTAAGTCTCAAATCACAATTCACTCCAATGATTGGAAAAGAGGAACAGTTCAAGGTTCAAATAATTGAGAAAGAAACAACATCCATGAACACCATTGCCAATTCAAACTGCCAAATTTCTGATAATACCTTGTGTCTTTGCCACAACTCCACCAGTTACATTCTACAAATCCAATAAACCATCTACCTTTGGAATGTGTGGTTAGGATAGTCTGGTCCTGATTCCAGACAATGTTAATCAAACTAACTTACACAGACCAACCTTTTATAACAACCCAAAGAAACGAATGTGATACATGACAAAACTGTGGAAACCAGAGTGGGCGAAAATAGATAGATATAGAATAGGCACCCATTGTCCTCTCCAGAGAAGAATGCTTTAGTGCACATCCAAAAAGAGATGGTGAGGCCTGAAAGCAAGATTCTAATCTTGGTGGGAAGGAAGTTAAAATTAGCTTGATCTGCACAGAGTGCAAGCAATCAAGGAAAGTTGGTCCCACACCCACACTATGGGCAGACATGGATACATACATCAGACATTGCAAAATATTTGTCTTCCTCTAAAGTGAGACCACACAATATGCTGAGACAAAACTGCTGCATTATTTTCACTTGTAAACATAAATATACTAGGGATACCTTAGTATGCTGTAGTTGCATGGTTACTAACCACAATCTCACTCCAAAATACATGTACACACAGGGAAACATGCACATGTAATTTTTCTAAGGATAGTTAAGGCAAGGAGCTTAAATCAAAGTTTCAGAAACTTAGCATAATGTAATGGGAAAAAAAGAAGCATCTTTTTCGTAAGACTACTAGGAAGAGTTTTAAAATATTGACTCCATTAATAATAACCAAAAGCTTTGCGGTACCCGTGCAATATAGGAAGAGTTCAATAAGATAACATAAATAAACAAAGTTACTTGAAAGGCATAGACAAAGTATCAAAAATGGGATGCACTAAAACTTGCAGAATCAAACAGGAACACAGAACCCATTTTGAAACATACATACAACATGGAAAGGGTTGAATATTGACTACATGAATAACCAAAAGTTACTGGAAAGAGAGGGCACAGAACATGGAGAGGGTTGAATATTTATGTATGATTCTAGGCTGGACCAAGAATTATCATTCTAAGGATCATGCTGCAGAGCTTCACAGATACAGCAAGAGCTGTGCTGGCATATTGCAAAAATGCCACATTGCAACCCCAATCCAAGGGAACAGGGAGCTGCAAACATAAGTGCATGTCAGTGTTCTATACACATGGGGCCCGCAAGTGTAGTGGACCCCATGTCTATGGAACAATGGCGTGCTCACTTATAATTGGTTACATAGCCTGTTTCACACACCACTGTTTGCAGAAAATCCTATGTCAATCCAAGGGCATCCGACATATTAGTTTGTTATGGGTAGCATAAACATGTTAATTTCCATTTGCCAACACAATCTTAACCACAGACAAATTGAAGATTTTTTGTTTTGAAGAATTCCAAGATTTCCCATGAATGAGTCACAATCACAAATAACAATTTATAAGCTCTAATTAGGAGGACATTATCAGAAATTATCCTTGGGCATCTAGGGGAAAATAAATAAGAAATGTGCCACTATAACAATTCTAGTTATTATCAATGTATCTCTGTAATAATCCCTGTCCTTCTGACGTCATAACTTGTGATTCATATTTTAAGATTCTAACTTTGAGTACCTCTCCATAGTTGGATTTCCTGTGAAGACAGTTTGGGGTGGACTGCTAGCACCCAAATCGAGGGCTTTTTGTTGAGAAACTATTCACATGAAAATTAATACTTCTAGGAATCTTGAAAAGAGAACAATGGCTTTTTATCAAGATTGTTGACAGATATTGGAAGAGGACATTTATGGACATTTTTGAGGAATTCTACAAAATGGGAATAATTAATCTGGACCTGAAGTCCACCTTTGTGGCTTTGATCCCTAAGAAGATAAATGCTGTCCATCCAAGAGATTTCAGACCGATTAGCTAGGTGAATAGCTTGTATAAGATCATGGCAAAAGTGCTGGCCCGTAGGATGAGGAAAGCCCTACCTAATATTATAGCACCGAATCAAGGAGCCTTTGTGGAGGGTAGGCAGATTACTTATCAAAACTTAATAGCAAACGAAAGTGTGGAGGACCTCAAAAAGTCTGGAAAGAGAGGAGTTGTGGTTAAACTCGACTTGGAAAAAGCTTATGATCTAGTGGACCAGTCATTCTTGTTTCGAGTAATGGTGAAGTTTGGGTTTGGGGGCAGATGGTGCAAGTGGGTGATGCGATGTGTTAGAATTGTCATTACTCTTAGTAAATGGGATAGTAGTTGATTTTTCCCCAGCCTTGAGGGGAATAAGGCAAGGAGACCATCTCTCTCCATTTCTATTTACCTTGATAGTTGATGTTCTGGGAAGGCTAGTCACTAGAGCAGACTCTAGGAATCTAGTTAGAGGGTGGAGAGTGGGAAGAGATGGGGTACCTTTGACTCCCTTGCAATTTGCAAATGATACAGTGCTTTTTTTGAGAAGGTGGTGACTTGAGTTGGATTAGAAATTTAAAACTTATTGTACAACTTTTTGAACAAATGTCAAATTTAAAGGTGAATTTTGATAAAAGTTGAATAGTAGGGTTGAATTTAGAGGAGAGGGAGGTGGTAGAGTATGTTGGAATTCTTGGGTGTGAGGTATCCATTGAGGCAAAGTTTCTTCGACCAAGTTGTAGAAAGATTTGAAAAGAGACTGGCTTCTTGGAAGAGAAACTACTTGTGTCTTCACTGTCTTGGGGGAAGAGTCACTTTGATTAAATCCACATTAGCTAACTTCCCGGTCTACTTGCTAATTTTTAAAATTCTATAAGGGGTTTCAAGAAGGGTGGAGAAGTTAATGCGAGATTTTTTATGGGAACCAGGAGAGAAGAAAAAGGACCATACGGTTAGGTGGGAATTGGTTAGCAGAAGTAAGAGTTAGAAGGCCTTGACCTAGGAAATATTCAGAAAAGAAATGTAACCTTGTTGGGGAAATGGTTGTAGAGGTTTCCATTTGAAAAGGAATAACTGTGGACAAAGATAGTGGTAAGTATTCATGGGCTTGCGGATAATGGATGGTGATGATGCGCAATCCGGTCGATCCTAGCTGCCGGTTACCTCGCCTCTGATGGAATTGAAGGTGCCTGAAACAAGGAAGAAACTGGAGACTTTCGGGGAGGAACCCGGTTGGAACACTCCGAAGCTCAAGTTAGTGCTCTTGAGAAGGCAAGGGGAAATAAAGGACTTCAAGACCAGAAAGCACAAAAATCACATACCTCCTTCTTTGGGGGAAGGGGGCCTTTTATAATCACCCTGGTACACTCACCCCATACCTCTGCCAAATCGGGTATCATCACCTCCGCCAGATCGGGTGTCGTCATTTCTGCCAGACGCCAATTCGGGTGTCATAACCTCTGCCAAATGCCAGTTCGGGTGTCATAACCTTTGCCAGATGCCAGTTCGGGTGTCATAACCGCCACTGTCTTCCTTGTCAGGGCCGTCTCTGCCACGTCTGAGATGGCGGTGGCTGGTGGCCATTGGAGGGCGGCTGTCATGTGTCAGACCCTTAATCAGTCAGGCGCGCCACCTCCGTGTACGGGCTTCCTTGGCGTCAGGTACGGTTGTTCAATCAGGCGACTTGGAGCCGTAGTGGTGTGCGAGGTGGAGTCTTGAGTTCGGATAGAAATGTGACCCGAACTGCCCCAAGGTGGGCCAGCTCGGGTTCTTTCCCTTTGCGCTCCTTGTAAGGCTCAGGGCCTCTAGGGAGAGCTCGGGTTCCTCCCTGGGGAGCTCGGGTTGTGGGTTCCTTTTTGGGGGAGCTCGGGGCTCCTTCTCTCGGAGCTCGGGTCGTGGGCCCGCTATCGTGCCGAGCTGGCGCTCCTGCCAGGTCACTCGGTTGCTTCCACGTGTCGCACGGCCAAGGGGTCGGGCCAAATCTCCCTCCATCAATTGCCCCCCACTCCCCGTGCCCGGGGTCCTGACCCGGCATGGGGAGTTCACGGGATGACGGGTGGATTTGCCTCGTGACGCTTTGGCCTTGGTTTGGAGCTTCTCCGGTCTGACCTGCTTGTGCTTTCAGCCCGATCAGGGTTGGCTTGGTTCGACCAGGGGTCAATCCCGGGTCGCATGCAGCTCACGCGCGGACATCAAACGATTATAAATTTTCGGACGTCAAAAATTCGCGCTAAACTGACTTCACCTCGGGGGGCGCGCAGCCGGTTTTGCTGGGAGTCGTTGGATGGTTTTGATCTTGGCCGCTGATGTGCGAGTACAGTGGCTATAAATAGTGGGGGGGCCCTGGTCACTTTCCTTCGCCATTCTTCAGCATTCGTTCCTTGAACTCGAGTCCAAGGCTGTCAGCTCGCATCATTCTTCGTAGTCCAGTAGCTTTTCCCCGGTGAGTCCTCAGCCTTCTTTTCGATTCATTGTCTAGCTCGGGTAGTTTAGATAGTCTTCTGGGGGGGTCAGATGCTGGTTCCACGAACCGAGTTGCTGCCCCTGACAGCCTTAGTGAGTCCGAGGCGGGGCCTAAGGTAGAGCTCGAGGAAGAGCTCGAGTTCGAGCCCGTAGGCCAAGTCACCTCGGGTAGCTTGGCATCCACCTCCCGTCGAGGTCGGATGCCAGATAAGTTCGGGCCTTCCACTATGACGCCCGAGAAACTTCGGTCCCTTATTGCTCAGTATAACTTGCCCGGGGAGTATACTTACATTTTACCCTCGGGCAACTTCCCTTGGGAGCACGGTCCGGACGAGATCGTGATATTCCGGGAGCAACTCGTTGCCGGGTTGCACCTTCCTTTCCATCCTCTTATCGTCGAGGTCATGAATCACTTCAGCGTTACTGTCGGTCAGCTCCACCCGAACTCCATTCGTAACCTTGTTGGGACCATCTCCCTTTGTTGCGAACACTGCCTTCCATTGGACCTAGAAATCTTTTCCGCCATTCTTA